AGATGCATAACGTAAAAAAAACGATATAAACGGTACTTATATATATATATATAGAGAGAGAGAGAGAGAGAGAAAGATACATATACATATATATAGATAAATACATATACATATAAAGATAGATAGAGTATTTACCGGTGTTTCCATAGTACCGGCGGACGGTGATGGATGGCGGCGGTAGACGGTGGTTGGTGGCGGAGGAGGGTGGTGGACGGCGGCTCTTGACGGTGGTCGTTGGCGGCGGAGGGTGGTTGTTTGCGCCGGAAGGTGGTGAGGGGCGGCCAATGACGGTGGTCGGTGGCGGCGGATGGTGCCCGACGACGGCAGATGGTGACCGACGGCGGCGGACCACGGTGGTCGGTGGCGGCGGAAAGTCGCCGATGTCGTTATACGGTAGTGTATGACGGTATATCGAAGAATGGCTTCGATATTGGTCGTGATGGTCGGTGGGATGGTCAAAGCTCGGTTTTTCGCTCGGTTTTTTTAGAGAAAACGGACGGTGGGATGGTCGGTGGTGGGGATGGTCGGTGGTGGGGATGAATGGTCCCCCACGTCCAATTTATATAAAACGTTAAGTAATAAAACAAAATCATCGTCAAATCAACGTCAAATCAGCGTCAAATCGACGTCATAGAGTTGTCATATCATGAAAAACCGCAAAATCAGATATAATGTCTGATTTTTTCTCCAAAAATCAACTAAATATTTTTTTTCGTAATCACAATTATCATCCGATTATTTTATAACGAAAAACCGTGAAATTTAAAATTAAATACGTAAAAAGACACACTTTATGTATTTTTTCCATTTTTATTAAAAACACTCCTTAATTGTTAAATAAAAAACACAAAATGACAGAATAGAGGTCAAATTTCGTCAATCAGATATTATATCTGATTTACGAAACCCAAAACAGATAAAAATAATTTTTGCTTCTCCATAATTATAAAGGTTTATTTTAAACATTTACCCATGAAATTTGGTTCTAAAAAAGTTAAAAAATACAACTTCAATGGCGTATCAATTTTATTAAAAATACCAAAAAAATGAAAAAAAAAATACAACAATTATCATCCGGTTATTTTATAACGAAAAACTGTGAAATTTAAAATTAAATATGTAAAAAGACACACTTTATGTATTTTCCATTTTTATTAAAAACACCCCTTAATTGTTAAATAAAAAACACAAAATGACAAAATATAGGTCAAATTTCGTCAATTAGATATTATATCTGATTTACGAAACCCAAAACAGATAAAAATAATTTTTGCTTCTCCATAATTATAAAAGTTTATTTTTAAACATGACCCATGAAATTTGGTTCTAAAAAAGTTAAAAAATACAACTTCAATGTCGTATCAGTTTTATTAAAAATACCAAAAAAAATAGCCGGATCACCCCGGGTACAGTACGGATCGCCCCGGGGGGAGGTCAAACACGGTCAACAAGAGGATGAACAGTAAATCTCGACTTTTGAGGAAAATTTTTTTAAGACTTATGGGGGGATCGCCCCCGTAGTGTACGGATCGCCCCCGTAGTGTCAAACAAATTTTAATATATAACTATCTCTCGTTAACCGTAATTAAAATATTTTTAATAAAGAATATTTCTTTTAAAATATATGTGAGTCATAATTAATTTTAGAGTAAATTACATTTTTGGTCATTGTAGTTTGTCCAAGGTCATTTTAGTTTGTCCAAGACTTATTTGTCTCTCCTATCTCGTGCTATCTAGCGGTATTTACTTTAGGGAACTTGAGTTTTATGAAATTAAAAAAAATTAGGGACCATTAATATAGATAATTTGTTTAAGGGACCAAATCTAAAATTTGAGCATAACACAGGGCCACCAATATAATGCACACACGTACACACACACACGCACGCACACACATGCATGCACGTGTACGTGCACACACAGACACACAGAGAGGGAGAGATGGGTTCAGGGAAAATCATAAATAAATAAATCAGTTGAAAACATGTTATGAATCGTTAGATTAACAAAAATATTTGTACTGGTAGTTACAAGAATATTTTTAAATTTAAAAACCATCACCTCTCCTATTTTTTCATTTTATAAAAAACAAAAAACAACTAAAATTCGAGCGAAATAAATTACATAAATAATTTTTTTGTTAATTTAACATACATATTGTTACAATTTTCACCCTCTTTTATTGTTTTTGATTTTTCATTTATTAACGTTTTTCCTTAACCATATATATATATATATATATATAGAGAGAGAGAGAGAGAGAGAGAGACATCTTTTACAAACTCAATCGTTAGTGCAACCATATGAACCAATTAATTAAGGTATTTATAAAAATAATGAAGTTTATTTATTATAATTTAGATTTTTATAAAAAATTATCATAATTTATTTTAGTATATAATTACATGTAATTTTGATATTTTTTTAATTCTTTTATTTTATCATTACTGTTATATGAACCTATGTATATATATATATATATGCATATTATTAGATTCTTATGGGAGGGTCAATCTCAACCTGTTGCATTTTCAATATCTTTTACCACTAAAACGTTCTTCTAACAATGCAATTTTTTATGAGAAAATAGATGAATAATATGAGTATTAGGTGGGTAGCAAGTGAACACAATCTTTTATGTCTAATTTTGGTCGGAGATCTCCGATTTCTTCTCCAAAAAAAACACCATAACGTAATTAATATCAATATATATATATATATATATATATATATATTTTCCGATATCGTTTTTTATTATTTGTTTTTTTCTCTTCTATATATATATCATGAGTCAAACATCATCATCTGAAGCTAGCTAGCAAAAATAAAATACTAATATTATTCAATAAATAATAATAAAATGTATCAAAAACAACAATTAAATTTTACCTTATCGAATATAGTTGTTTGGATCTACCATGAAATGTCAAAGAATTTCGGTCTGAATTCACTCTTAATTACCAAAGTAAAACTAAAACCAGCGAATATAATTAACCAAGCTATTTCTTTTCTTTTTCAAAGCACATAGAATCATATACAAAGACCAAAAAAAGGTCGTCTACGAAAATGAAATTCTTACATATCTCATAATTAAACAATTTAAAACAACTTTGACAAATAAAATTGTGAATCAATGCACGATGGACCATAATTAAGCTAAAATTGCACCTGTTTAGGTGCCGAATCTTCAAAAACATGATCCAAGAACAATGAATGTGAAGGACAAATTCATCTTTTTGTACCGCATGATTTCAAACCGGTACTTAATTTTTGTAACTGTTCTTTTTTAAAACTATTATACAATTGAAACCGTACAATTCCTGCACAAGTATGCTAACAATTAAGATGGATACCAAGAATTCAAGTGATAGGGCATACAAGATGAATTCTTCCAAGCCTTAGCATGCATCTTAAGAATCTCCATAGCTTTCTCACTGGTCTTGCCACCACAACTTGATTGCACCACCAAGAAGAGTTTCCTCGCCACCCCCAACTGCAGCATCTCTTGTATCACACTCGTGTTGCCGGAAAACATCGCCACAGAATGCAGTATTCTCACCGCCCTCCCGCTTGCCGCCTCTGAAACACGGAAGATTTTCTTGGAAACAACTGCTAATCCTGCACCATGTTTCAACAGCTCGGCACGGCCATCGGCAGACTTGCAAAGCTGCTCTAACAGTATTAACACCATCTCCGAAACCCTCTTTTCGGTAGAGTCGAGGAGGGTGTCGATTAGTACGGAAACTGCACCGGCCTCCACCGCCTTTATCCTATTCCTTCCCCATGGACAAACTCCGATGAGTATTTTCAGTGCAGCTTTCGTGGCTTTTTCGGAAATTTTATGGGCCAAGATTTGTGTAAGCTCGATGAAGACGTGGGTCTTTAACGACATCACTTGAATTGGCTCCGCCACTTCAAACATCGATTTCAGCAATAATACGGCGTAAGTGCGCGACTCGTAATTGGCGGCTCGTTGCATCACGTGAATCAATGCCTCAACAAACTCTTCAGTCTTTCCAAACAACGACTTAAGGCCGGCTTGTGACAAATGAAGGTGGTAAAGGATGCTGACAGCTTCATCGACTGCCGTCAGCAAATTACCAAATCCATCAACGCCGGAAACTTCTCCCGCCGGTGATGATGACGTCAAATTACTACTTGGGTTCCTTATGATGTAAGATAGGTAATCAGCTGCTCCAACTGCTTCCATTGATCGTTTGTTCATATCACTCTCCAAAACAATAGTTTTTAATCTCTTCAGAGACTTCATCTGCAAACTTGGAGACTTTGAATCTTGTAGAAGCTTCAAGATTTGCGATTTGGAGACCGGAAGGCGTGGCGTGGGGAATCTTTCGATGCCAAATGGCGCATTAATGGTGCACCAAGATTGGATCAATCGGCGAAGGGTGTGGTTGGGAGTAAGCTCTACATCGGTAAGGACTTGTTTGGTTAAGGGACAAGTTCCATTCTTTGAAGTGTACAACCATTTCTCAATGGCATCTCGATCATATGTAATCCCTGTAGAGAGTGTTACAGGGTCCTTCATGATTTCTAAAGAAATCGGGCATACAAAAAATGAAGGAATTTCTATATCTTTTTGGGTATCACCCATTATACAAAACAGATTTAAAGACAATAATCTCAAAGCAATATCAAAGAAGAATGAAATTTAGGGTTCTTTTGTGAATCTTGATTGAATCAATGAATGAAAGTAGGGAGGTTTTTGGTAAAGTGGTTGTGAATAATGGTTTAAGGGGTTAGAAGATTTTGAATTATAAACAGGGTGGATGATGAGGAGGTGCAAAAGTCAAAATGCCAAAAAAGTAAACAAATGTTTTGGTCAAATCACATATGGAGAGAGGACGTTTGACTTTTCAAAGGGATTTTGGAGGCTCCAGAAAGACAAGGCTTCAACTGGATGTGATGAAGTAAAGTGAGTGGGCAATGTGTGTTGGAAATGTGTGAATGGATAAGCTTGCTGGTGTCGATAGACCATGCATATATAAAATACAACTTAATGGCCAATTGACCATGTTTAAAATCTTTTCTTATGATTATAAAATAATAAAAAAGTGTTTGATGAATAGGGATTTTAATTATCAACTTGTATGAGAATTGTTCTCCTAATATATAAAACGTGTGGTTAATAACAAAGGTTCTTTTGGTTTAACAGTATCGTAGTCTTTGGCCTTCTAGAAGGTTAGAGGTTCAAACATTGCCAAAGATGAAAATGATGTCTGAGTTTATTTGTTACATTTGTCATATATAAATATTATATACTGAAAAAAACGTATGGTTTAAAATAATATTAAATTATGATAATTTATTTATATTGATACTATATATATATATATATATATGTGTGTGTGTGTGAGCTCAATTAAATAAGTAGAGGATTATAACATTTCGTACCATGTGAATTAAAAATGAAATGTATAAGCTTCTTAATAAGTCCCATGTTATGGGATATTATTAACACACCATGTTCTTAGTTGGATTGAAGTTTAAAGTGATTAGGTTATAATCTATTACTACTTTATGCTTAAAGATGTTATAAATAGTATAAGACACAATTCTTGAACGGGAAAATGAAACCCATGCAAGAATTCGTGAGCTCATTGAAGTATCCTAGGGGTTGTGTGTATAGAAAATTGAGTTTTAGCAAGAAAATCAGCGATTGAAGATATGGTTTTCCTGGTGTCTAGATTGTCAAACTCGACTAGATTATATATGGTTAAGAGTCAAATGAGTTGTCGGCTCTTTACATTGAAAGCGAGCATGAGGAGCTCCCACTCGAGCTGTATAGATGAAGAACACAAACATGGTCAGAAGCTCTCTTACGAATTCACACGAACATCGGCTTCCTCTCAAGACTCATGTGCTCCCCAATGGCCGCTATCACTCTCGGTGACTAAGCAACCATGATAGCCTCCTTTGTCAGCCCCTTTCCGCCCAGCTCAACTCTCCCCCTCCTCTCTTTGTCTTGCATTGCTTTTAGTCTCTCACGGTTCATAGGTCCTTGTTTAAGTTAGAGTTTCGAAATTTGAGTGTTATTTTAGTGTTTTTTTTTTAACTTTGACTGCTTGTATAATTGAGAAGTTTACTAATGGAATATTTACTAATTGCTTGTAGTAGATTGAGAATTTAAATGATATATTCCTTTTATTTTATATGCCGAAGATTTACTCGTTCTAAAAATGTTCAGATATCTGATCCCTGAAAATATGAAGGCTCGTTGGGTTCCCCATGATTTTAGCACAATAAATGGGATTATAGGTTAGAAGAATCAAATTGTTCAATTTCAGCAACCGAATGATTTGTTCAATAAAGTTTAGAACACTTAATCACTCAAAATATAAAAATCCATTGGATTTTCTTTTTCACACTTTTCTCTTAGAGGTAATAATATTATTGACAAGTGTTTAATTCTAAGTATACATTTTATACACGAAAAAGTTCAAAAAACACAACAAACTTTTCCATTTTGAATGGTTTAGTCTATAAATTATTTTTTTGAATGAAAAATCATTAAACTTTTTTATTTTGAATTATTAAGTTCCCGAACTATTTTTTTTTGAATGAAAAACCATTAAACTCTCTCTTTTTAAATGAAAAAATCCATTAAATTTTCTCATTTTGATTGATTAAGTCTTTAAACAATATTTTAATGAATAAACTATCGCACTTGTAAAAATTGGTTATCTACATCATATCGACCCAATGAATTTATATTAACTAACTAGTAAAAGTTCGTTGGTTTATTTATTTAAAAAAAAATTCAAAATATGAAAGTGTAATGGGTTTTTCATCCAAAAAATCATATAGAGAATTAAGAGTTGTTTGTTTACCTCTTAATACTTTCATTAAAAATCAGTCTCTGAATCGTTAAGAGATGAATCTTGTTTGGAAAAAAAAAATTTGTTTCTTAATGGTTCTAAAACCCTGAATAATTTTGTATCATGAGTTTTCCTTAACCAATAAGAGCCCTAATTTCGTTGAAAATAATTACTAGACAATTATATTTCATTTTGCACTATATCATGAAAGTCTCTTAATCATTCTACACTAAACTATTTAGCAACTGTCAAACAATTCCTTAATCATTCAAAATGAAAAACTTTAACCATTTTTTAATTCAGAAATTATACCATTTAATATATTTATCATTAGTCGCATCATGTTACAATATCGATTTTGACTCAAATTTTGCATTTGAAATCTTATCAAAAATTACTTACCGTTAGTTAAAGTGACGTCTAAACAAACATGTTTTACCAACAGATTTCGATAGAAACAACCGATTTATGGATGGCGGATTTAAAAAAGTCAAATTTATTTTTGTCGATTTTAATTAAATATTTAAATCAAAGAAAACAAATGCATAAATGAATTATTCTCTCTTTTAATTTTAGTAAAAGTCAACAATCTCCGTTCTCTAACCCGATTGATACTCGTTCAATCTTCTCTCAATGAAACTTTAGCAACCGACAGATGTCGGAGGTGGGATGTGTAATGCATTTAAAATTCTTTTAGACTTTTCATTCTTATTTAATGAAAATTACACATGTGGTGCACAAAATTCACAAACACTTTGATTTTATTAACCTTTTTTAAGTTAATATAAATACACCCATCACCATCTATGAATCTTTTATAAAAATTAAACCTTGACTTCTTTTTTTCTATAATGTTTATTGAAAAATTATTGTCATATTTCAAATTTTCAAAGTGATGTAATTGATTTGATGGTTATAGAAATTAATATTTTGATAAGTTTAATAAAAAGTCAAATGTGTCGTTCACCATTAAGTAGTGTCGTGAAACACCACCTTAGAGTAATACCCTTAATGTACTGTTTGTTTAAATCTGTGGCTTTCAATCGCACTTGGAGGTTGGGTACCAAGTGGGCAACTTGGGTGCAACCTGTAAAGTGCACCTAAGTTACATGCATGCGGCTCATGTTATGACGAGATAAAATTGATTTTTTAAGGCATTTGTTGCTTGAGAGGTCAAACTATATTGGGCTAACATTTTGGGTGATCTCGCCTCTCAGAATATTTGAAGTAGATAGGTTTGTTGCTTACATTTGTGGTTTGTATTTGATTACAAGTTTCTACCTATTTGGTTAATATACATAATATAGGGGTTGTTTGGAGGACTTACACGGTTGTAAGAGCGTGAAACTTTGTTATTTCGTTGTGTTGATTTATTATTGTCGATTCATTTTGTATATTATTCGTTAACCTGTATTTTCTTCAGCAATTTGGTTACTTTTGACCTAAGTTTTGGTGACCTTGAACATGTGTTTTTGTAATACCCCTAAAATTTGAAAATAGTTATAAATTTAAAACTCTATGAAAACCGACTTTACATAAAATAAGAGTATTTACCCGAAAGGTATTAACTTTTAGAAGATAGCGAATAACAAAGTTAAATATCACAGTTCTAGGGATTTCTATTTAATTCTACTAGACTAGATTTAAGATGGGATTTACATCAACCAATAAAGTTGGTATCTTCAAAAGGTATGATAACTCTCCAATAATGTCAACCCGCTTATGCCTCTAAATGGCACTCCAATCTCTATTCACTGGCCCTCGAGCCCGTCACTCTTATGACTTACTATACATGTAAATAAGAAAGGGTATTAGATTTAACGCCTAGTGAATTCAAACAGTTTATATTAAAGTACAAACTGAATATAAAAGGATGAAATATTTATAACGATTCCCTTCCTTGGGATAAGAGTTAACTCCTAAATAAAGCATCATGGCCCATTGAAGATCATTTCTTTTAGAAGATTAGTGTAACAATCAGTTTATCTTATGATAACAGGGGAGACCCGATTCCATCAAGTGGAGGAACACAAAGTAAGCAACATCAAGATTTTGATGAGACCACCCTTGGGCATACAAGCCCATAGTGTATACTACATTTGGGGCTAAAATAAGAACCTCAAAACTCTTTACTTAGATGGTCCCTGAAGTTACAAGATGAGAATATGAAAACTCCTCACTTGTCTAAAATCAAAGGTTCCAAGACGAGAACATCAAAACTCTTCTTTTGTCCCAAACCAATGACATCAAGGAGACAACATCAAAAATCCTCCCTTGATAATGAATAGTCAATATATATGGATTCAATGCAACAAGACCCCAACATGTGTAATGTACATACTTGAACAATTAATCATCATTTGATCTCATAAATTAACCATATTGCTTGCAATAAAAGATAAATAATACCACACTTCAAACGACATGTGAAGTCAAACTAACATTGTTCATAAATCCATAAGATTTGCCAACTATTTAACCCAATAATCCATAATAATAGATATTTTTCTCCAAGAATAAAAATCACGTGATAAAAGGTTCTACAGAACCGTACATGAGATTTTCACCTCATACGGCTCCTCGTTCAATTCTACTTAGACCCAACATCATATTGTAAATATGTACTTAGTTATTTCCAAAGTGAGTTTTTGGTCTCCATTAGTCTTACAAACCACAAAAAGAGATATTCCATCTTTTCCCCAAAATCCCTAAAAAGGGTAACCTATAAATCAACCAAATTTGAAAACGTTGGGGAAATCCAAGAAATTGTTGAGGATAGGCATAAAGGTAGCTTTGACATGTATAGAGCCTATAAAATATAATATGAACTTCCCTTGGTGGATTTCTAGACAAAACCTAGAAAATCAAGAAA